GAACACCGTGGTTATTGCTAGCGGCTATTGCCATGTAGTTGTACAACAATCAAATTGAGTACAGTCAGCCTGTCCATAGATGGTTTGAATCTTGGCCAGTCCCTGCTGAACCGACCGAGATTCCAACCTAGACTGTGGGGTAAAAGAAGTTATGGATTGGCAGATCACTTGGGGTAAGAGGGAATAAAGGGGACTTAACTTTGAATATATAATACCATATATAAGACCAGCCGTGGTATACTTTCACAGCCCGCACTACCTCTTGCCTACCACCGGAGAGAGACTCCACTCCAATCCAGATGGCTGACCACGCACTGGCAAATCCAAATCTTATATACGATCTGGTGCACTGATTAGAGTTGAGGAGCAGCTTAGCAATCATACACCCTTCTAGGATCCCTCCAGCTATCCTACAGCTAGAACCCCGGTGTTAATCACTCTTCCACTGTCCACACACCCCCCACAACAGACACACCACAAGCGGTAGCTGGCCACCACCCAACAGTTTATCCGCATAACGGTCTGTTGGGACACCACACACACACAGATCTCCGTCTGGCAGACCTCCTACCTTTACAATCTGCACACAATCTGCCTACACGCAGTGCAATTGCATACAGATTGGCAATGAGCTTGACCGAGCAAATTAAGGCACTAAAATGCAATACAATCTAATCTCTCCAATATAATCTCTCCGAAGATATGAGCCCATGCTTAAATACACTGAAGTCACTTATTAATTTTAACATTTAATATCCCGAAAGTGGGCAGTGCATAAAATATGTACAAAGTATAAAAAGTTACAGAAAATACAAGAAGACACACAAATGACTATTCACTATAAAATAAAAGGGATTAAAAAAACAGATAAAACTTTTTTCCAAGATCTATCCTGTGACTGGAGCAAGTCAGGGAAAATCAGCAATCCGTTAGTCGATCGAACCAGCTCCATACGAATTACTATGTCCCAATGTCCGGGTATTCAATTTATGGGGATATGGACGTAGGCGGGACATTAGTCCTTGGCCAATTGACCTTGGGGGGTGTTTCTGTACCCGCCCACAGGATGTTCTGGGTGCCGAACTGCGCAAGGTCAATCGGACCAAGACTGACTTGAATCACCAAGTCGGGGATTGGATTTCTGACACCAGCGCATCAGTCCGATCGTAACAGTACAAATCGCTGTTCGGCTGTCGCAATCCAGTGCCACCTAACCATTTCCTGCATTTTCCTGGCATTCTACCTAATCCACAAATACGGTTTTTATATGTCAATGTGATCCATAGAGTGCCCCATCAGAAGGAAGCATTTTCATCTCTCTGCAACTAATATTTTAGCTTTTATGGGGGATGAAACATACTCCTTTGATGTATGTATATTCTTTTAGAGCTCCCAATGTCAGGGAGACAGATCGGCGCCTTCCTAGTGTCATGAAGCCAAATTGTCTCCAGCCGTTTCCTTCCCTGTTTCCCCAGAAGGTGACAAAATCTTATTAGCACCCAGGTGCCACTTCCAGTGGAAGCTAGTCTTTTCAGATGCTAATTGATGACCATCTGTCCCTGAATACCTTATTTCTTTAATGACAAGGACTGAAACTACATTTAGGATTACATTGTCATATTTTCTACAGGTCACATCTTATCTACTCAAATCTGTACATTTATGTCACCTCTTATTTATGTCACACCTTACTGCAATGGGAATACGGTAAACAATCATAGGAGATGCATGTGAAGCTGAGTTAACTCTCTGTAATGGGGAGGTACTAAAGATGGTGCATGTCTGTTGAATTTGAGGAGCTCAATCACATTAAAGTGGTGAGCACTTAAGGTGGATTTCAGAAAAAAGCAACGTTTTCAAAGTTTTTATAGACTGTATTTTGTGATGCACATGGTTATACATTGAGAATGATTTCTAATTAAGTCTTGGTCTGCTTTTAATTGTACTTTTTTTTTTTTTTTTTTTACATGTTAGAGCCAGTGCTCATAGCTGATAGTCCTTAGAAATTATATATTTATCATGCAACCAATTTTGTAGAGACCTAAAACACAAATGATGGCCAAGAAAGTTTGTCATAGATCCAACTTGACAACAATAAGCACATAATGTAGACCTTTTTTTTCTGTGTCAAATTGAATATTGATCAACCTTTCTTTCAGAAATCAGACCAGACAGTGTTTACTGTATGATTTGTCATATAATGTTTTCAGGCCTCCGAATTCCAGCTCAAGCTTTTTTGTGTGTGGGTATGGCCTGTTTTACCCTCTGAAAGAATACTGAATTAAGACTAACAATTTATCTTGATTAAAACTGGCAATACATTATACATTTTTCGTGTTCAATTTCGCTTAGTTTCAGCTATATAGTGCAAGGGCCTGACTGATTGCATACAAATTTGAAAATGTTTAGGTTTGACCTCATATTATATGTTTTTGGTAATTCAAAAGGAAAATTGTGCAAGAAAATTGTATAATGTATGGCCAGCCTTAATCTCTGTGTGGATATTAGTGTTGTCTTAAAAGGGGACTGTAGGTAATAACATTCTTTCATATCACTTGTATTTTCTTAAGATAATGTTTTTGTTTTGTTTTTGTAGGATCTTGGCATGGATTATTATTTGATAGGAGAGTCATTTGAAACCTCTGTTCCGTGGGACAGGTAAGGCTCTATATACACTGGTAAAGCTCATCTCTAGACTTCCTTTATGCTGAATCACAAGTAAATAGATTAGTGCACGTTTAAAATAGATAGAGGGGAGCTATTTTACCAGTAAAAAATGTTTTGCAATTTTCGTTTATCAAGCTCTGATATGTAGACAGCAGAACCCGGTTGGTAACCTGACTTTGCAGTTAGGCCACACAGCTAGGCCACCTTCCTGCTCATAGCAGCACACAGATGAGCTTATTTCTAGCCCTCTCCTCTTGTCAGCATGTTCCTTGTAAGCACATGTGCATGCTGTAAACCTGATTGGCTGATGCTGCTACCCAACCTGTGTAATACTTTACTGTACAGAAGATAACAAGAGGCTGATAAACCAATTTTTGGTACTTACGCTATTTATTTATTTCAGGTACTTATATAGCGCCGTCAATTTACGCAGCGCTTTACATATATATTGTACATTCACATCAGTCCCTAACCCTCAAGGGGTGTACAATCTAAGGTCCCTAACTCACATTCATACATACACATACTAGGGCCAATTTAGACAGGATGCAATTCACCTACCAGCATGTCTTTGGAGTGTGGGGCTAGTTACATTTAAAAATAATTGTAAAGACTACTGTCAGGGCTCCCAGGTATGACCAGAGGTGTGTGACTGATGCAGGGAAACGCAGACCTCAGATATGTTATAAACAATATAATTTATTAACACTAACAGTACAAACATAAACGCAGTGCAATACTAAAACACAATACAGTGCAACCAAACCAAACCAACCACCCACAGATAACAGTACATACAAGCAAGCGTCGTCAGGCAGGCCGGGTCAATATCAATTGGGCAGGTAGGTACCGGGGGAGCAAGCGGAGAATGGTCGGGGTCACAGGCCAGGTTCAGCAGGTAGCAAGCAGCATAGTACAGAGGGTCAGGCAGAGGGATGGTCCGGGTCACAAGCCAGGGATCAGAACAGGTAGCAAGCAGCGTAGTACAGAGGGTCAGACAGAGGGATGGTCAGGGTCACAAGCCAGGATCAGAGCAGGAGAAGTCAGCAAAGGAACAGAAACAGGATGCAGGACAGATACAGGGCCCAGGACAAAACACAAACACAAGGCAGAGTCTGCAAGTCTGGCCATCCCTTAAATACCCCAGTATCATCAGTTCCAGGTGTTAGCTGGCTGAAAGGTTGAGTCTTGATTGCTGGGAGCACCCGCTGGCCAGCCCTGGTACTGCAGATCAAAAGGCAGGTGAGTCCCACCATTGCTGGCCAGTCCATTCCTAACAGTACCCCCCCCTCAAGGAGCGGCCTCAGGACGCTCCAAACAGTCCTAGCTGGGCAAAATGTTCCACCGCCCGGGTCTGGCAACTGGCGGGATATCAAAGACTGGCACACCGGGCAGGACTCCCGGGCAGCGGCACACCGGGCTGGACTCGGGCAGCGGCACACCGGGCAGCGGCACACCGGGCAGAGGCACACCGGGCAGAGGCACACCGGGCAGAGGCACACCGGGCAGAGGCACACCCCCACACCGGCAGAGGCACACCGGGCAGAGGCACATCTGATTACCAGGCGGAGCAGCAGGCACCGGGCCACCAGGCGGGAGCAGCAGGCACCGGGCCCCCGGGCAGGGCTACAGGCACCGGGCCCCCGGGCGGAGCAGCAGGCACCGGGCCCCCGGGCGGGGCAGCAGGCACCGGGCCCCCGGGCGGAGCAGCAGCAGGCACCGGGCCCCCGGGCGGGGCAGCAGGCACCGGGCCCCCGGGCGGGGCAGCAGGCACCGGGCCCCCGGGCGGAGCAGCAGGCACCGGGCCCCCGGGCGGAGCAGCAGGCACCGGGCCCCCGGGCGGGGCAGCAGGCACCGGGCCCCCGGGCGGGGCAGCAGGCAACCGGGCCCCCGGGCGGAGCAGCAGGCACCGGGCCCCCGGGCGGAGCAGGGCAGGCACCGGGCCCCGGGCGGAGCAGCAGGCACCGGGCCCCGGGCGGGGGCGACGGGCATCGTGCTCCCAGGCGGAGCGGCGGGCGCCGGACCTCCAGATGGAGCGACAGGTCTCGGGCCCTCAGGCGGAGCGGCGGGCGCCGGACCCCCAGGAGGAGCGACAGGTCTCGGGCCCTCAGGCGGAGCGGTGGGCGCCGGACCCCAGGCGGAGCGACAGGTCTCGGGCCCTCAGGCGGAGCGACAGGTCTCGGGCCCTCAGGCGGAGCGGCGGGCGCCGGACCCCCAGGTGGAGCGACAGGTCTCGGGCCCTCAGGCGGAGCGGCGGGGCGCCGGACCCCCAGGTGGACGACAGGTCTCGGGCCCTCAGGCGGAGCGGCGGGCGCCGTACCCCCAGGTGGAGCGGCGGGCGCCGGACCCCCAGGCGGAGCGACAGGTCTCGGGCCCTCAGGCGGAGCGGCGGGCGCCGGACCCCCAGGCGGAGCGACAGGTCTCGGGCCCTCAGGCGGAGCGGCGGGCGCCGGACCCCCAGGCGGAGCGACAGGTCTCGGGCCCTCAGGCGGAGCGGCGGGGGCGCCGGACCCCCAGGAGGAGCGACAGGTCTCGGGCCCTCAGGCGGAGCGGTGGGCGCCGGACCCCCAGGCGGAGCGAGCGACAGGTCTCGGGCCCTCAGGCGGAGCGACAGGTCTCGGGCCCTCAGGCGGAGCGGCGGGCGCCGGACCCCAGGAGGAGCGACAGGTCTCGGGCCCTCAGGCGGAGCGGCGGGCGCCGGACCCCCAGGTGGAGCGACAGGTCTCGGGCCCTCAGGCGGAGCGGCGGGGTGCGCCGTACCCCAGGTGGAGCGGCGGGGCCCGGACCCCCAGGCGGGCGACAGGTCTCGGGCCCTCAGGCGGAGCGGCGGGCGCCGGACCCCCAGGCGGAGCGACAGGTCTCGGGCCCTCAGGCGGAGCGGCGGGCGCCGGACCCCCAGGCGGAGCGACAGGTCTCGGCAAGGCGGAGCGGCGGGCGCCGGACCCCCAGGAGGAGCGACAGGTCTCGGGCCCTCAGGCGGGAGCGGCGGGGGCGCCGGACCCCCAGGGGAGCGACAGGTCTCGGGCCCTCAGGCGGAGCGGCGGGCGCCGGACCCCCAGGCGGAGCGACAGGTCTCGGGCCCTCAGGCGGAGCGGCGGGCGCCGGACCCCCAGGCGGAGCGACAGGTCTCGGGCCCTCAGGCGGAGCGGCGGCGCGCCGGACCCCCAGGCGGAGCGACAGGTCTCGGGCCCTCAGGCGGAGCGGCGGGGGCGCCGGACCCCCAGGCGGAGCGACAGGTCTCGGGCCCTCAGGCGGAGCGGCGGGCGCCGGACCCCGAGATGGAGCGACAGGTCTCGGGCCCTCAAGCGGAGCGGCGGGCGCCGGACCCCCAGGCGGAGCGACAGGTCTCGGGCCCTCAGGCGGAGCGACAGGTCTCGGGCCCCCAGGCGGGGCGGGCGGGCGCCGAGGATCCCCAGGCGGAGCGGCGGGCGCTGGACCCCCAAGCGGAGCAACAGGTCTCGGGCCCCCAGGCGGAGCGGCGGGCACCGAGACACCAGGCACGACAGTGGGCTCCGAGTCAACTGGTATGACCGCAGGCACTGGGTCAGACATTGGATGGTCTGGCTGGACAGCGGGCATCGGTCACCAGGCATCAGGTCATTTGGCTCGACAGCGGGCACCGCGTCATCTGGCAAGGCAGTGGGCTCCGAGTCAACTGGTATGACCGCGGGCACTGGGTCAGACATTGGATCGTCTGGCTGGACAGCGGGCATCGGGTCACCAGGCATCAGGTCATTTGGCTCGACCGCGGGGCACCGCGTCATCTGGCAAGGCAGTGGGCTCCGAGTCAACTGGTTATGACCGCGGGCACTGGGTCAGACATTGGATCGTCTGGCTGGACAGCGGGCATCGGGTCACCAGGCATCAGGTCATTTGGCTCGACAGCGGGCACCGCGTCATCTGGCAAGGCAGTGGTCTCCGAGTCAACAGGCACGACAGTGGGCACCGGGTCATCAGGTACCGGATTGTCTGGCTCGACAGCGGGCATGGGTCATCAGGTATGACAGCGGACACTAGGTCACCAGGCATCAGGTCATTTGGCTTGCCAGCGGGCACCGCGTCATCTGGCAAGGCAGTGGGCACCGAGTCACCAGGTACGACAGCGGGCTCTGAGTCAATTGGCACGACAGCGGGCACCGGATCAGGTACCGGATCATCTGGATCAACAGCGGGCATCGAGTCAACTGGCCTAATAGGATCGTCAGGCTGGATCAGTTCATCATGCTGGGTAGAGGCATTAGGCCGAGTAGAGGCTTCAGGCCGAGTAGAGGCATCAGGCCGAGTAGAGGCATCAGGCCGAGTAGAGGCATCAGGCCGAGTAGAGGCATCAGGCCGAGTAGAGGCTTCAGGCCGAAGAGAGGCATCAGGCCAAGTAGAGGCTTCAGGCCGCGGAGAGGCTTCAGGCTGAGGAGAGGCTTCAGGCTGAGGAGAGGCTTCAGGCCGAGTAGAGGCATCAGGCAGCGTACAGGCATCAGTCTGAACCACGGAAGGCAGGCTCACCGGTTTGGATACTGGCAGGATGGTATTGGTTGGAAAGAATTTTCGCTTTTTTTCTGGTTTTAACTACTGGAGCACTGCAAGTAAACGCAGGTCTGCAAACGAATGGAGCAACTGGAGACAGAGAAGAACTGGAGGATGGAACAGGAGAAGGAGCGGTTGCTACAGAGGGCTCTTTTACAGGGTTAAAGGCAGGATAGGTTGCAGCGAGTGGGAACAGGGTACTGACATGCGGTAGATAGCCAAGTATACTGGGCTGTAACTGGAGGAGCTGGTGGGAATACAGGAGTAGAGTTAGAAGCAGGACTGGGTCTTTGTAAGCTGACTGAGGCTGGGTGCAACAAATCTGTCCATGTCTGCAGTAGGGGTTGAACAAAGCTGAGCTTACACAAAGTCTGTCTGGTCAATGACTGCACTGCGTTTATACAATCTCTTAGTGTCTGTGGTGAACATGTGGAATAACGCTCCAGAAAGTAACCCACATCATCCTCTAATAACCACACCAGGGACTCTACCTGGTCTGCACTAAATGGTGGCAAAAATTCATCCCTGCATTCGGGGTGAACCAGATGAAACCAACTCTGCACAAACCTCAATCAATGGCTGCACCTCAGAGAACACTGTGCCCTGATCTACTAGAACATGAGCGAGCCGTATACATTCTAGTAGTTGATCCCGGGGATACTCCTTCAGAGTTTGATAAGCATACTCTCTGTCATCAAACACCAGCAGATATAAATACTCAACCTCCTCAAGATCCATCCTTCCCATCAACAAGCCAAGATGGCTTCCCTGTGCAGCCACTTCTGGTCAGGATTGGCCTTGGTGTAATGTCAGGGCTCCCAGGTATGACCAGAGGTGTGTGTGACTGATGCAGGGAAACGCAGACCTCAGATATGTTATAAACAATATAATTTATTAACACTAACAGTACAAACATAAACGCAGTGCAATACTAAAACACAATACAGTGCAACCAAACCAAACCAACCACCCACAGATAACAGTACATACAAGCAAGCGTCGTCAGGCAGGCCGGGTCAATATCAATTGGGCAGGTAGGTACAGGGGGAGCAAGCGGAGAATGGTCGGGGTCACAGGCCAGGTTCAGCAGGTAGCAAGCAGCATAGTACAGAGGGTCAGGCAGAGGGATGGTCCGGGTCACAAGCCAGGGATCAGAACAGGTAGCAAGCAGCGTAGTACAGAGGGTCAGACAGAGGGATGGTCAGGGTCACAAGCCAGGATCAGAGCAGGAGAAGTCAGCAAAGGAACAGAAACAGGATGCAGGACAGATACAGGGCCCAGGACAAACACAACACCAAGGCAGAGTCTGCAAGTCTGGCCATCCCTTAAAATACCCCAGTATCATCAGTTCCAGGTGTTAGCTGGCTGAAAGGTTGAGTCTCTGATTGCTGGGAGCACCCGCTGGCCAGCCCTGGTACTGCAGATCAAAAGGCAGGTGAGTCCCACCATTGCTGGCCAGTCCATTCCTAACAACTACATAACTGTTTTAATTGGTGTTTTCCATTTCTGTCTGGCATTCGCTTTTTACCAGTTGGATAGTAGTAGAAAAATGTGCAAAAATAAATGAATATTGTCTTAGTATTTCAAAACTGTCCAACTTATGGGAGTCTATTTTAAACCGGTAAACTGGTTTTGTCCTTGGAGTTTTTTGACATACTTGTCCCTGCGGCCTTTACAAACTAGATAATCATATGGGCAGGCCTGGAAGTCCTCATGAGAGTGGTATTTATGAAGAAACCTGAACAACCGTTATAATGCCCTGTCTACACTGTGTGTCTGTTGAAGAACAGAACAGCCAAAGTACACAATGTTTTGCTCCGCCAAACAGTACTATAATATGTATGGCCAAGCTGAACTGCTTTGCACAGCTAGCCAGTGGGGAGGATCATTCATTAACTGAAAATGGCTTAGAGGCAGCAAAGCACAATATGGTCCACAAGGTGACGAGGGAGAATAGTAAGGGCTGTTCCTACACTATCATTTGTGACTTTCTTAAAGACTTATACAGCAGTTATTCAACTGCTGTTTTCACATCATTCATTGTTGCTTTCTTGCCATTGGATTAGTGAGTTTTCATTTTTAGTGACTTAGGACTCCATGCAGATCACATGAGGTTATTTAGGTGATCTGACACATTTTTTCCTCAAATATCACATGCAATGCTGAAAATGTCAATTCACTATTCCTTTATGCAGTATTTATCTATAAAAACAAAAATGCATTGTAAATACCACATAAAACGACGTTTAAAGTAACTCACTGCAGGAAATAAATGCATTCATTAAATAAGTAGTGGTCCACGCATGCTACAGTTAAAGAACTCTGGTCAAAAATTTTTTCACTGCATGGATTAACTGCTTCTTTTGTCCAGGGGCTCAAGGAAAAGCTATACTTAACCTGATCCTCTAGAAAACAACACTCCCGTATGTCCAGTGGTGGACTGTTCCTGCCGTCCTCACGTCCAGAGCCAGTCTATGGGCGTGATGACATATGGAATGGTCCATTCACAAGACTGCTAGCTTGCAGGGGGACAGGAGCAGCGGGGATCAGTCTTGCGCTCGGAGGATCGTGGATTATGTAAGTATATTTCTGCTCTGCAATCCCCTAGACAAAAATGAGCAGTTAACACATGCAGTGTGGGTGTCGCCCCACTGCATGGGACAATAAAAAAAAATTGCTCAGAGTTCTTCCTCAAGTGATGTTTCATTTTAGCTGGTTGTTAAGGAGCCGGCAGCCAGCGCATTTTTTAAAACAACCATGACTCGTCTGCTGTCAAGAATACTCCCTGCTGACAGCAGAATGTAAACAAAAGTGCCGGCATGCCCCGGTCGATGACGGCATAAGGGGGTGTGATCACCCAATGTTGTCATTGAGTGGCCCCACCCTTTATTTAGCAGCTGGTAGGCAGTGGAGCTGTCAATTTGCGGGAGCCAAGTGTCAATGCGGGTCGGGTTCTTTTCTTTAGTGTGTGTCGGTGGCCGGCGTTCATCGTGATTGATGTTGCATCTTCTTTTTTTTTTTTTAAATAAAGGACTTGTCAAAAAACTGTCTGAGTTTTTATTTACTTTTTGCTTTTTTTTTTTTTTTTTTATTTAGGTGAATGAGTACCAGATACTCCTTCACATGAGGTGGGATCTGGGATGGAGGCAAACACGGGTGAAACTTGTTAGAGGGGCATTTCTGATGAGTGGAAAGCCAGCTGAAGCAATTTTTGTGATCATTTGTTTTGTGCTTCATTATATTGGTGTGCAGTCTTTGGAAACTTTTGTGGCTATTTGGTCAGGCATGATGTGCTCTTATCAGTGATCCAGCAGCCTATATGAACCAGCTGGTACATCTGACAGGAGCATGTGAGCTGTGCTGCTTTTCATCCTTATAGCGACAGTTTCAGGTATCCTTGCCCTTTTCCAATCCAATGGTGACAGGTCTTCTAACCTACCCAATTGATGTTGCTACCCCAGGGCTGTCAACTTGTGGGAGTATGCATATCATAGACAAGAGATTTGTCACCTGATTCAGCTAAAACCTGCAAAGATGAAGCAGATTTCATTTTAGTGTCTCTGGGCTATTTAAGAGTTTTATACATAGAGCCATAAAAATAGTGCCGGCATCTTCCAGTGGCCTTGTTACCATGTTTTATTCAGCCAAAAGTTCTCAGTTTTAAATGTCTTACCAGGGACACAGATAAAACACATGTTCATTAAAGTGGGGAGGGTTAGAACTTCAGACAATATTTTTCTCACTGTCTGTGCCCTCCTATCCCGGTGACAACTGCACCTCCATTTCTGATGCAGACGTCACAGGGAAAAGTGAGGCAAAATCTCTCTAGAATGAAGAAAGCCCTATCCAAAACTAAAAATAAAATTGGCTGGAAATAGGCTTGTATCAATAGCCAAGCATTTTTTTTAATACAAAGCCCCCTCTAGTTGTATTTGTAAATCTGAAGCTACTGCTAACACACCCATAATGTTGTTTTGCAATAAAAAGATTTTTCTGTTACAGTTCTGCAGTTTCTGTATGCATGCACATGTGCATTTAGATTCCAAATGCTTGGAGAAAGTTGACACACAAATCAGTCAAATATTACCTGTTCTTTATGAAAACACACTTGTTTTATCTTCTAATTCAATGTGTGAGTACAAAGAACTGTTCATTTCTCCACTGCAAACAGATTTCAACCTCTCGTGAAAAAGTAGATTTGAAATTTAATGCTTGAAAGTGGATAGTGAGGGGGAAATAACAGATCTTAGTGTGAGACGCATAAGGGACCAAAATGCATTGGAACGTCTTGCGTTACATAGTTACAACTGTTCTTTTCTGTTTTGCAGG